CTCTTCCGAGCCTTGCGCAGGTTATGGTACCTGCCCCGTGTCTCCTTCCCAAGGGGAGAATAAAACCATCTCCATTTGGGAGGCAGACGAGTCAGGATACAGCAATGTGACCTTTGTAGTTGGCATTCAAGGAAGATAGGAAGACCTGCGAGATGAATCGTGTTATTTTAGCATTCTATCTCTTACAGAGCCAGGTGACATCGTGGTGACCCGGGAAGCATGCGGCTGTGGCACTGGGGGCCCTGAAGACTGTCTGGTTTGCAGAGAGGAATGCTACGGTGGTCAGTGCATTTGGAAGGTGGGCCGCGGAGGGTGAACCACGCGGCCGTGGCCGTCGGGCACAAGGTCTATTCCTTTGGCGGCTATTGTTCTGGAGAAGACTATGAGACTCTGCGGCAGATTGATGTCCATGTTTTTAATGCAGGTAAATGTGTCTTTGTGTTGCGCAAAGGAGTGGCTTGCTGGGCTTGCTTATTAGTTTTCTTGCCCACTGCTGCTTAACATATTGCACTGTAACACGCTGTCTGACTCTGATTTCCAAAGAAGCTATCCGTGTAGATGGGGGCCTCTTCCTTTGTGCAGCTCTGTATTTTCAGCTTCAGGGGTAGGGCACAGAGGGGCTGTAGTTCCACAGACACCTAGGATAAGGACTCACAAGAAGTAACTCCATAGCCAGTGGCCTATTTTGTCTTTGTTCTCTGTGAACACTAACTCAACTAGGTGCAAAGAGGTGATGTTTAGCTGGCTCAGGTCCCCCGTCCAGTTTGCGTAACCATGTTCAGCTGCCCTTAGTGTGGAAGGGGTAGGGTGGGAGCCAGTGCCCTCAGTTAAATCTCCCAAGTTTGGACTCCTGAGCTGTTTCCCTGTTGGGGCAGCTGACAACTGCTGCCAGCATGGTGGAGTCAGTAGGGGCACGTGGCTGGGATGGAGGCCTTCCCGTTTTGGCAGCAGTTATTGTGCAGATTCACAACATGGCTTAGAAAAGCAGCTGGAGCTGGAGCCATTTGTGTAGGGTAGCCAGTATCTGTCAGGAGGCTGAATTGGAGCCATGACTGTGCTGGGAGAGGCTGTATTTCTGGATTCAGTGCTCTTTGAATCGAAGAGGTTACTGAGCTGGTCCATGAAGTACTTCTCTGTAATTAGGCAGGTGGTTGAAAAACTGCACAGATGCTTGGATGGGTCCAGCTGAACAGAAACAAGAGTGGAGAACCAATGACCAGTTTTCCAGACGGGACAGCATGCCGAATGCTGTCCTAACAGGCACATGGCATGTAGATAAAACTAGTTTGTCTGTAAGAATTCACTCCTCTAAATCTGACTGTAGAGAAGACTGACTTGTGTGGTAAGTGGGTAAAGGCATTGGTAACACAGGGCTGCCAGTGTGACCTGCCCACAGCGTAGCGGGGAGTGTAGCTCAGGATCTAGTGAACAAAGACGGTCATCTCTGGATAGAGAGACTGGACTCTTACACTCAAGACAGTTGAACATTGTAGGTTGTAAAATGTGCTAGTGGAGCACCACTCTTATGGTGGAAGCATAATTACTGTGCTCAAAGGAATGCTCTTGCATTGTCTTGCCTTCTTACCACTCCCAAATATTCAAGTGTCATGATGCTGCAGCAGTCATGTGGGAGGTGACACTGGCTTCCCAAGCCCTTGCTCAGTTAGCATTGCCAGGTTCCGGTGGTAAAGCCAAGGTACCAGATTTTGAATCATCTCTTTCAATCTGCCAAAGAGGAAGACTGTGTTTTAGGTAGGAAACATCCCATCTAGCTTGACTTTAAGCATTGGCCGTGCTTCCTCAGTGCCCTTTCTGCCTCTGGGGTAGATGCTCCCCTTTTAAGATGCCTGACCC